GTGTGTGTGTGTGTGTGTGTAGTTAAACCGAGATTATTACCCTCCTCCATGAAATTTTAAGTTTTTCTGTTAAGTTTTGCTCTTAAGCAGGTCATTGACTTTTCAATACGGCTTTTCCAAACATCGTAGTTTTATTTTGGATGCTTGTCAAAATTATCAGCTCTGCTGATGCTAACAGTCAATTGTGTATCCTTTTTTTCTGGGTAAGAGCATGCTGTCATTTATAGTAGTCTGTATGAAGTCTTTACTGCCTCTCCTGAGGAATCCCAGCCCATTCTTCTTTGGCAAATTGGTAACACTTTATTTGAAGTGATGTGCATAAGACTGACAAGATGCTGTCATAAACGTGCAGGAGTCTTCATGGATATTTTTGAGTGTTTTCATGAAATGTCACTCCATAAATAATGACACTCTTAATGCATAGCTGACATTGTTTAAAATATCTTTATTATATTGGCAAGACAAATCGTCTTTGTCAAACAGCCGTATGCTGTGAAACGCAGATGTGCAATAATGTTTAAGAATCTACAGATTTTTCTAACCAACTGAAAATAGCAGTAAAAAATATAGCAATGTAACATTACCGTCTATAAACTAGTTTCAAATCAACAACTTTATAAACAAACTTGAAAAAACAGACCAGTTCAAAGACCAGACTTGACTGAACTGTCTTTTGCTCAAAGACGTGAGCATCATTATTCTTTTGTCATGCTTTAATGAAGCGTCCTCATTGGTGCCATTTCCTTACAGTCTATTACATCACAGTGCCTGATCTGAAGATCTTTTCCAAGCAGATATCTTAGTTTGCTCTTGTTTGTGCTCTAGCTAACACTAAAAAAGCTACCCGAGTAACCGGTGACAGCTGAAACCAATTACACCCAGAAAAAGTTGTAAAATCTTTATAACTTTTTTGATACGTACTTGAGTGCAACACAAGTGTACATGTGCTCACCAAATGAACAAGAAGCTTTTCTTATCAAACTTGTGTAACTAGTTCTATTACTAAAATAAACTTTCTAATACCAAAGTGGTGAAGAACTCCTATATCCTTCATAACATGTCTCCAACTCTAGTCCTCAAGATCTAAAGTCCTGCAGGTTTTAGATGCATCCCTGCTGCAAAACAGTTGAATCAAATGATTGAAACCCCTCTTCAGCATGCCACCAACATTAGGAAAGGCCTGGAGATGAGCAATTCATTTGATTCATGAGTGTTGGAGTAGGGTTGCATCTAAAACTTGGTGGACCGTAGATCTTGAGAACAAGGGTTAGAGACCCCTGTCCTACAGAGTACCATATCCAAACCTCCATGAAGCTTCAAAATTAAACCATCAGCACAGAATATGCCATCAGAGGAATCATCTTTACTTCTGCTTGTCACCAGTGTGATATGAAACAGAAATTATTCATAGTTAAGATTGAGATTAACTACAAGCATATGCCTCTTGAAGTGTGACACAGCCACTGAGTGTTTTGCCTCATACAGCCAGTGCTGCTGTTGACAGACTGCTGTACTCGAGAAGAAACTCGAGGTTAAAAAAAGCTCTTTCCAGTGCACAGGAACTGATGCTGGCAGTGGATCTCATAAATGCAGTTAATACTTTTAGAAGTGGGAAAGTGTTTTTCTTAAGAGTCACTTTCACAGAGTAATCTGATCTATACCAATCTTAATCAATGGCATCTGTTCTGTGTTTTCATGGCTTCTACTTTACAAATACAACCATAAATTATAAAATATTTTATAGCAGAAAATCTTTGTCAACCACTGAATTGGTATATTTAGCATCAAGTTAATCAGCAAATGTAAAAGTAACATATGTTTCAACTGAAAAAGAGCCACATTTATGTAGGGTACTCAATGTCCTCTAAAGCAAAATCTGCACCAACCATAAATATTTCTATGATTACAATTCAGCCCAAAATCATTCACACCATTAGCAGATTAAGATTCAGTATTATTTTCATTCAACCAGGAACTTTGTTTTCAGAGAAAATGAGACAGGGTTCTTATAAACAACAGTTGAAAAGAAGTGCATTTTGGAAAACAATTCTCTGTTTGTTTTTCTTCCACTGAAAGAAATGCATTGAAAAAATTATCCATAATAATATATGGGAAAATCATTGGCATTACAGTAGTAAAACCATTCCTCCAGCAGTTGAGCAACTCTGCATCTTGCTCCTTGTGATGGTTTATCTTTGTGTTGAGTTTCAAGTCCTTTATGGAAGGCCACACCAAACTTTATCTTACTCCATATTCGGGTCAGGACTAGGACTTAACCATTTCAGGACATTATGACTTCCTTTCAGAAAAAACTGTTGGTCAAATTAAAAGATTAAACCTAAATCCGCCAGGGGTATGAATAATTTTGGGCCTATTATCTACATATCTTAAATCTTCAAAGGGTAAATTATGGATTTTTTCTACAGGAATTTCTCCACCAAATACAAGGAGGTCATCTCTAAAAGTCTTCTGATCCAACCAGGATATCCTGCTATCTACCAGCTAAAGCTAAAAAAAGAGGAGCTTGGACCTCTGACAAAAGTAACCTTCGGTAAAAAAAACATCAGCAAGATGAACAAAACCATCTTGCTTGTTGGAGAAACAGGGGCTGGAAAATCAACCCTGATCAACACTATGGTGAACTACGCCATGGGAGTTAAGTGGGAGGATAAAATCTGGTTTCAGATTGTAGAGGAGGACGGGAGGAGTCAGTCTGACAGTCAGACATCAGATGTGATCGTGTACGAGATTTTTGGTTTTGAAGGTAAAACTATGCCGTTCTCCCTCACCATCATCGATACTCCTGGATTTGGAGACACCAGAGGGATTGAAAAGGATGCAATCGTCAGTCACAGATTGTTTGACTTGTTTCGATTAGAAGATGGAGTTCATGAGATTCACGCAGTGGGTTTGGTGATGAAGGCTACAGATAATCGTGTTAATGACAGACTATCATATGTCCTGAACTCAGTGATGTCTCTTTTTGGAAGAAACCTAGAGGACAACATTGTTGCTCTCCTCACTCACTCAGATGGTCAGAGACCCAGAAATGCCATTGAAGCCCTTGAACAAACAAAAATTAAATGTGCCAAAAATGAAAAGAACCAGCCTGTTTACTTCCTGTTTGATAACTGTCAGAATGAAGACCGAACAGAAGAAGAAGATGCAGAATTCCTGCAAATGGCAGACAAAATTTCAGACAAAGGAATGAGAGCACTCACAGAATTCCTGGAAAAAACTGGACCTAAAAGACTGATGGCCACTGCTGAAGTTTTGAATGAGCGCATCAGCCTGATAGCCTCTCTCCAAAACCTTCAAGACAGAATCCAGCTGACTGAACAGAAACAGATGGAGATTAATAGAATCCTAGAAGCCATAAGGAAACATTCAGAGGAGATGAGGAGGAATAAAAACTTCACTGTAGAGATTACAGAAGTCTACAAGGTGAAGGAACCTACGAAAGGTAAAAAGTTGATGAGGCTTAGTTTTTTTGAAAAAGCTATGTGCTGCACAGTCTGTGAGGAAAACTGTCACTATCCTGGATGTACTCTTGTTCCGAGTCCACAACACTGTGAGGTCATGAAAAAAGGCCGCTGCACTGTCTGCACTGGGAAGTGTCCTGCATCGGCTCATGTAAGAGAGGCCTGGAGATATGTCAACAAGACCAGAAGAGTTCAGTGGACTCTGAAAGCTATGGAAGAGAAGTATATGAAGAACAAGACAGATTGTGAGAAGAAGTTAAGCCTTTTAAAACACCTGGAAAAGGACATGAAGGACCTTTCAACAGAGAAGTCCCAACTTGTTGATGAAGCCTTCAAACATGTTGTCAGACTGGAGCAGATCGCCCTGAAGGTTAATTCAGTTTCTACATTTTTGTACTTGGACTTTCTGATTGAGAAGCTGGAAGAAAAAGGAGATAGAGCGAAGGTGCAGAAACTAGAGGAGATGAAGAGCAGACAGGATGAAGGAACTAAGTTAGCACTGCAGTATGTGTGGGGTAAAGTAACAGACACAAAGTAATGAACATAAGATTAACACTAAGACACTTCCCACATCAATACACAACTCTGGTCAAAATAAACATGAAGGCTGCTGTAGCTGTATTTGGTCAATTTTCATCTGAAGTGAAAAACATCAAGATTATTTTAAAATGTATAAAAAAATGTCACTGGTGACAATGATACTTATGAGAATCATTTAACCACAAGCATTAGCAAACACTATAAATGACCAAGCTTTAACAATGGATTATTTGTTGTATTTATATCTATTTGTCAAAAATGCCCAAATTAGTTAGGTGAACAATGTGGGTTCACTGAAACCAGCATTATGCCAATCCAAATGTATGCTAAGTCTTGATAATTAGCACAATGTGGCATCAGATACATTAGCTCAGGTACCTTTTAAAGGATCTGGGCTTAACAGATGCCAAATAAAGAGTGCTGAATTACAAGTGCAAAAAAACTGCATATGCAGTTAGTGGATGCTGCACACCATCTACAAAGATACTACCCAGCTGATTGCAGATGCAGAAGTAGTGCAGACTACCCTGTTGAAATGAGAATTTTCTGTGTGCTACTGGCAGAATGGCCATGAGAGAAAAATTAACTTGAAAGACATGAAGTTGAAGATATATTTGTAGAAGTAGATAACTGTTGATTGCATTGAAACTATTAAACTTTCAAGCTTGCTAAAGGTATTTGTACTACACTGGGTCTGATCAGGTGAACCAGCTCAGAACTTATTAGAAAGCTTTTAAAAATGAAGCTTTTAAAAGTGTGGGACTCATGGTAATCAGAAAGGGATTGAATTAATTGACATAGGTACTTGTTTCATATATTTATTTTGTGAATAAAACACTTTCATATAAAAATATGAAAACCAAATCTATGAAGAGAATAGTGGTTATGCTGTGTGATGACATCTTTGTTCTTAGCACAGCAGGAAACACATAAAGTGGTAATGTCTGGAATTACTTATTGCTTGCTTGCATTTATAAACATTGTATTCAATTTTCTTGTTTGTACTACGGACAGCTTTGGCTTGTTAACTGAGAATATTTAAGATGAATTTGTGAAAAATATTTTTCTTTGACTGTGAATAAAGGAATCTGCACCCGATTGTTTGTATTTGTTTCTTACTGGTACACTATTTCAAAGTAAATGCTATATTTACAGAATATTTAATATAGTCTATTCGATCTAAAACACACATGAAATGATAGTTGTTCCAGTAAATCAACACCAACTCCAATCAATAAGATTCAAAATAAAGTCAAACATAAATAATTTAAGGGTTGTTTAGTTTGAAAAGGTGTAAGCTGAAGGTAGTCAGCTTGTATATGATTTTCATTACAAATAAACCAATTCCATTCTTCATCCCTTTAGATTAATAAATATTACCAGAATATGCAGAATTAACAATTAAATTCAAACAGAAGAAAAAAAAACAAGGCAGAAACATTAAAAAGTAAATTGTTATAATAAAGATTTAAATTATCAAATATTCAATTCTCTTTGTAGCTTTTTCTCATATAATATGCTGGATATTATGCTCCCAATAGTGCATATGTGGGCAGAAGAGCCATTAAACCACAATAATTGTTTTCACATCCTAGAAGAGAAAAAAAATAGAAATAATATTTTTTTAGATTATCTGGAACAATCTCTATTTTAATAACAAAATAAATGGTTGAGACCAATATATAAATAACTTCATGGTTAAGCTTAGCCTGGTAAAAACCAGCCTCTTTTTTCAAAGCATTACTTTGTTCAGAGGGTCTCAGCTACTGAGAAATTATTGCTTCCTGGAGACGTTGACTCTGTTGAAGTTTTACCCAGTTTGACACTAATTGCAAAGAGATGAGTGCTGATCCAAACTAGGTATTTGTAATGTTGATTCAATATTTAAAAGTGTGTCCAAGATGGCCTGAAAGGCTGCCTTCACTTCCTCCACTAACATTGCTAAAACTACATGCACAGTACAATTCTACAATGTGGCAGAAAATCAACGTCATTGTTCACAACCTGCAATTCTGTTCGCTGATTGGGTCAGTAGGAAGGCAATGGCCAGGTTAGATTAAATATCTTTCTGGAGAGTGATATAAAGTTTGAGACTGACCAGAAATTTGGATGTGATCAAGACAAAACTATATGCTTGATGTTAAACAAGTGGTAAAAATAGGGGAAGTTATAGTAATAAGGAAGCAGAGTGCAACGTCAGAGGTCTGGATTAATTGGTATAATCGAGCTCTGACACAATGTCAATGTGGCTATATTCTAATCTGCAGAATACTTTCACAGGCTGGATTTTGTCTCAAACCCTGTACACAATAATACCTCCCTTTAGATTAAATTGCTTTTAAATCAACTTTGCAATATCAGAAACGTAAGTAAGGTAGTTTTATTGTTTAAACTTCAGACATTTAGTTCATTAAGGAAACATGTACAAAAGGTCAAAGGTCCTTTGAGAAAGTCTGTGCTTTTTCTTTTGCAGGATCGAGAATCCCACTCTGACAAAACTGATTTCCACTAGTGACTTAATCTCCTCAGGACATCCAAACATCTATCAGCTGAAAACAGAAACAAAGAAGTTTGGAGCTCTGTCCAAAGTGACTTTTGGTACAAAAGACACTAAGCAGATTAATAAAACCATCTTACTTGTTGGTGAAACAGGGTCAGGAAAATCCTCTTTGGTCAATGTTATTTTCAACCATGTAATGGGAGTTCAGTTTGAGGATGGGGTCTGGTTTCAGATCATAGATAGACAAGAAGGTGAAACACCTGATGTGATCATATATGAGATCTGTAATTCTGAAGGTAAAATTCTGCCCTATTCGATCACCATCATTGATACTCCTGGATATGGAAACACCAAAGGAATCAAGCACGATGACATAGTCATTGACAGGATGCGCAAATTGTTTGAGACAGAAAACGGTGTTCACATACTTCATGCAGTAGGTCTGGTGATGAAGGCAACTGATAACAGACTAAGTGACAGATTGATGTACATCTTTGATTCGGTGATGTCTCTGTTTGGAAACGACATGGAGAAAAACATTGTGGCTCTCATCACTCACTCAAATGGGAGAACACCTAAAAATCCCCTTCAGGCTATTGAAGCTGCAAACCTCAGATGTGCAAAAAATGAAAACAATCAACCAGTTTATTTCTTGTTCAACAACCAGCAGAATGAAGACCGCACAGACGAAGCAGAGTACTGTAAAGTAGCTGATAGAATATCAGAGAAAGGAATGCGCGAGTTTACAGCCTTTGTTGAAAATAGTTCACCTCAAAAGCTGAAAATAACAACTGAAGTGATGAATGAACGCATCAGACTGACAGCCTGCATCCAAAACCTGCTGGAGAGAATCAGACTGACTGAACAGAAGCAGACAGAAATCAAACAGATCCATGAAGGACTGAAGATGCATGAAGAAGAGATGAAGGGAAAAGAGGTCACTATCCATGTTGACGAACCCTATGTTACTAAAGAACCTATCAAAGGTGGACAGAAGTGGCTCATCTTCTATCAAGGAGCTGTGACCTGTCCTGTCTGTAAGGAAAACTGTCACAAAGATGGATGCACCAAGACCTGGCTCCCTGAGTTCTGTGAGGTGATGAGAGGAGGCCGCTGCACCGTTTGTTCCAAAAAGTGTCCTGCATCAGTTCATGTTAAAGAAAAGTGGATATATGTCAACAAAACAAGGAGAGTTCAGAAGATGATGCCAAAGATGAAACATGACTGTGAAAATAAAACAAAGTTTGAGAACCAGAAACATCTTCTGGAAAACAATGAAAAGGAAATGCAGCAACTTTTGGAAGAGAAATTCAAACTTGTGGATGAGGCCTACCAACATGTCATCAGACTGGAGCAGATTGCTCTCAAAGTTGATTCAGTGTCCATTAATGTCCACTTGGACCTCCTGATTGAGAAGACAAAAGAAAAGGGAGACACAAGGAAAGTCCAGAAACTGGAGGAAATTAAGAGAAAAGTGGATGAAGGAACCAAAGCAGCACTAAGATACAAAAATGCTTCTCAAGTATAGTTTATGATGAGAAATAAATCAGTGAAAACATTCACTGGAAACATTAAAAAATTTAACACACTCATTCAGAAATGTTCATAATATATTACCTTCAATATGTGGTGGAGGGATTATTTTAAATCAATGTTTAGTATAGTCCAAAAATATATGCCTGTAGGTAAAGTTTAAAGATTGAGATAAAATACAGAATTTTTTAAGTCAGAAGTACATGTTTTTGTTTTTTTGTATTGTTTTTCATATAACATGGATGTAAAATCTGTTAATTGGATTACAGAAATTAAACAAATGTACAAAGTATGCTTAAAAATATATGCTAGCATAGCACTAAGCATATCTAAACAACTTGGTGTTCATACTGAAAATTATCACACTGACTCCCAAAATGTGATACACACACACACAACCATACTATACTTACTGAATACATATTTTAAAAACATTAGAAATAATTTGTTACTTCTTTGAATCCAGCTGATTTTGTTTATTGTGGGTTTTTGGAGTCCTTGAATAAAATCTCTGTGTAACAAAACTGTTTAATGTGTCTGAACTAGATTATCACCTAGTCGAATGTGGTCAGACAAATAGTAACTACCTTGCATACGTATAGATCCTTATTTATAGCTCCTTATCTATACACATTCACCCATTCACACACACATTCAGGTGTCCATTTCAAAGCTATCAATGGTTGATAATTGAGGAATCTCCTGAATGAGCCAACCCAAAGGAAATCCTGATGAAAATATTAGATATGTCTTAAAACTGGACATACATTTACAAAATGCAATGTGAAAGAATTATCAGAAGAAGAAATAAAATCCTCCACATAATGTTAATGAAGAAATTGGCTTTATTGTTCCAGCTTCCTGACAGACGGATATGATGTAGAATATCTAACTGGGCTGCACAGTGGTCAGTTGGTAGCACCTCAGGTTGGAGTCCCAGCCTGCAGCTCGTATGTTCTCTGTGAATGCACGGGTTCTCTCCAAGTCACAGCCACAGTCCAAAAACATCTGTTTTCCTTGTGAATTTGTATGTATGGTTATTTATACTGTCTTTCTCTGTGGTGCCCTGTGATGGACTGGCGACCTTTTCAGGGTGCACCCCACCTCTTGTCCACTGACTGTTGGAGGTAAGCACCAGCAGTCCTGATGAACCTGCCTGTAGTGCAGTGCTTCTCAATTCAAGTCCTCAGGCCCCCCTGCCCTGCATGTTTTAGGTGCTTTCCTTCAACCACACACCTGGATTGAATCTGTGGGTGATTAACAGGCTTTTGCAGGACTTGATGGTCATGCAGTCATTTAAATCAGCTGTTCTGGAATAGAGGCTCATCTAAAACATGCAGAGCAGGGGGGCTGAGGACTGGAAATGAGAAGCACTTCTGTAGTGTTAGATAATGAATGATAAAGGATAAATCTAACTACTAGCTTTAGTGTGTTACTACAAGGCGGTACTAAAACATACCTATAAAGAACAAGACATTACATATTAAAAACTACTGAACACAAAAACAAGAAAATATATCAAAGCTAGGTTTTTATAGTCCCAAGCTTTCAGAAGTGGGATGTCCCAAACCCCTTTGTATCAGCTCTGACAGGTCCTTTCTGAGCACTGTGTCATGATCCGTGTTTTTCTGTATAGTTATTTTGAGATTTTCTGTGTTTAGTCCTGTTCCCCTGAGTCTCTGTATTGTCCTGTTAGCCCTTGATTGTTCCCAGGTGTGACTTCTTACCTTGATTACCCCGCGTGTATTCATATCCACCTGTTGTCTCTGTCTCTTGTCGGGTCCTTGTCTAATGTTGTTGTTTGTTGTATGTCTTCCACCTAGCTCTCCAGTCGTACTGTATGAAGACCTGGTTAGCCTTAGCTCCCGCATTCAGTCACCAAGTTGTCAGTTGCTACCGGTTATTAGCTGTGTGCTATTGTTCCTGCCGTGCTGCCAGACTGGACTGTTTAGAGCAACATTCATCATTAAATTCATCATCACCATAACCTGGGTCTCAGTGTTTATCCTCACCGCTTTATGACACTGAGTTTCTGTTGATCATAAGAAATTAAATATTTTTGTTT